CTAGGATTTCTACATATGAAATGTAGGGGGAGGAGGCATGAACATTCATATAACAACAACCCCATGGGATTTATTTCATGTATGCAAGGCTGGTTCAATATTCAAAAATAATTAATGTAACCTACCACGTCAACAGGCTAAAGATCATATTAATAGACGCGGAAAAAGCGTTTCACAGACTCTAACACCGGCTCATGATAAAATCTCTCAGTAAATAAGGAATAGAGAGAATTTCCTCAACTTAAGGAGGAATATCTATAAAAACCCTACACCTAATGGTGAGAAACTAGATACTTTCTCACTAAGATCGTGAACAAGGCAAGGATGTCCCCTCTCATTAATGCTTTTCACGATCATACTTGAAGTCCTAGCTAATGCAGTAACACCACAAAAGGAAATAAAAGGTATGGAGATTATGAAGGAAGAAATAAAACTATGTTCATAGATGACATAATTGTCTGTGTAGAAAATCTGAAAAAAAATTTGACAAAAAAAACCCTCTTGGAAACTAATAAATGATTATAGAAAGGTGGTAGGATACAAGGCTAATCTATAAAAGTCAATCACTTTCCAAATACCAGTAATGAAGAACTAAAATTTGAAATTTAAAACACACACACACACACACACACACAAAAGAAAAACCACAGCACCCCCCAAAATACTGAGGTACAACTCCTAGCAAAATCTAAAGAGATCTGTATGAGAAAACCTCCAAAACTCTAATGAAAGATCCTAGAACAACTTAATAAATGAAAAGATAGTTCATATTCATTGATAAGAAGACTCAATATTGTCAAGACCTCAGTTTATCCTAAACTAATATATGGATTCAATGCAATGCCAATCAAAATCCCAGTAAATTATTTTCTGTTTTTTTTTTTTTTTATTTTTCATTTAAGTAAGCTCTACATCCACTGTAGGGCTTGAACTCACAACTCTAAGATCAAGAGTCACAAGCTCCACCATCTGAGCCAGCCAGGTGACCCTGATTCTAAAGCTTATACGGAGAGGTGAAAGACCCAGAATAGCCAACTCAATATTGAAGAAGAACAAAGTTGGAGGACTGACACTACCTGACTCCCAAGACTTACTATACAGCATAGTAACCAAGCAGTGTGGTACTGGTGAAGGAATAAACAAATCAGTAGAACAGAATAGAGAGCCCAGAAATAGTCCCACGTATAGTCAACCGATCTTTGACAAAGAAGACAGTTTTTTCAACAAATGGTGCTGGGACTGGATATCCACATGCAAAAACAAAAACAAAGAATCTAAATAGTTTATTCCTTCCACAAAAATTAACTCAAAATGGATCACAGATCTAAATGTAAAAATGCAAAACTATAAAACTCCTAGAAAATAACAGGAGAAAACCTAGATGACCTCGGGTATGGTAACAACTTTTTTTTTTTAAGATTTATTTATTAGCAATGACTTTTTATTTATTTTTATTTATTTTTATTTTTTAATTTTTTAATTTATTTATGATAGTCACACAGAAAGAGAGAGAGGCAGAGACACAGGCAGAGGGAGAAGCAGGCTCCATGCATCGGGAGCCCGACGTGGTACTCGATCCCGGGTCTCCAGGATCGCGCCCTGGGCCAAAGGCAGGCACCAAACCGCTGTGCCACCCAGGGATCCCTTAGCAATGACTTTTTAGATACAACACTGAAAGCACAGTCTATGAAAGAAATGATTGACAGGCTAGACTTCATCAAAATGAAAAAATTTGGGGTGCCTGGGCTGGCTTAGTTGGAAGACTATGCGATTCTTGATCTCAGTCAAGGTCATGAGTTCGAGCCCCACACTGGGTGTAGCGATTACTTAAAAAGACTTAAAAAAAAAATGAAAACATTCTGCTGTGCAAAAGGCGATGTCAAAAGAATAAGAAAACAAGTCACAGACTGGGAAGAAAATATTTGCAAAAGACAAATGATAAAGGACTGTTTTCCAAAATACACAAAGTACTTTTAAATTGCAACAATAAGAAAATAACTATTTAAAAATGGACCAAAGACCTAACAGACACCTTACTAAAGAAGATATAGAGGCAAGTAAGCATGTGAAAAGATATTCAACATTGCAAACTAAAAAGAGATACCACTACACACGTGTTAAAATGGCCAAAATCCACACCACCGACAATACCAAATACTGAAGAGGATGTAGAAAATCAGGAACACTAATTCATTGCTGGGGGAAATGCAAAATTTATTTATTTGACGGAGAGAGAGCACAAGCTGGGGGCTGCATAGAGGGAGAAGCAGAAGCAGACTCCCCACTGAGCAGGGAACCCAATATGAGGCCTGAGCCTAGGACCCCTGGGGTCACGACCCAAGCTGAAGGCAGACCCTTAACCATCTGAGCCACCCAGGTGCCCCTGGAAGTTTCTTAGAAAACTAAAGTTACTACCATATATTTTCCTTTGCACGATTTGCCACTTTAGAAACTCAAAGTCCTTTTCTTTTGTATTCTCTAAAAATATAGTTCTTTTGTTAAGATGTTATATAACTCAAGTTCTAACCACTCCTTTGAGATATTCAGACTTGAATACCCTATATTTGTGACGCACATGTTAGTAAACTTCTATTTCTTCTTTGCTTGTTAAGCTATCTTTTGCTAATCTAATTTACAGGACCCCAGCTGGAAGCTTGATAGGTAGAGGGAAAAAGAACTTTTTTCCTTCTACTTAAGAGGCTTATGTAAAAGGTACTATATAAGAGGATTTGTTGAAATATAGAATTACTAGCAACAAACCATCTTAAAAATGTCTAACTTCAATCACTAAAAAGACCAAGGGCCTTGATTTCTCTCCATAACCATTTAATTTCAGAGTTAGGGCTCAATTGGCTGCTGAACAACACACAAAATAGCCTTTCAAAACTTCTGGCAAGTTCTACAACTCCAGTGCAGTTAATGAGCAAGATCCATGGAAAGGGAACACGTGAATTCATTAAGGCATCTGGGAGGTGTAGCAAAAATCTAGGTGTGGCTACCTTTGACGGAACACTCCAAACTGGTACTTCCTAGTAATATTGAGCGCAAAGGGGCTGTGGATGACCTATTCCAACTCCCTCAATTACAGATGGGAAAACTAGGGCCCTGTGAAAATATTTTTTCCCAATATCTCAAGGCCTCTTAGTAAGCAAGTTCATGTTTTATTTTTTTTAAGTTTTTTTTATTCATGAGACACAAAGAGAGGCAGAGACACAGGGAGATGCGGGCTCCCTGCAGAGAACCTGATGCAGGACTTGATCCCAGGACCCCAGAATCAAGACCTGAGCCAAAGGCAGACACTCAACCCTTGAGCCACCCAGGTGCCCCAGCAAGTTCGTTTTAGTTACTAGAACCCATAATTCCTGTCTCGTAATAGTTTATTTTCCCAAAGCTTTGAGACCATTTGGAGAATGCAGAGAAAAGAGAGAAGCCCTGGGGATCCCTGGGTGGCTCAGCAGTTTACCACCTGCCTTCGGGCCAGGGCATAATCCCTGGGTCCTGGGTTCAAGTTCTGCATCAGCTCCTGGCATGGAGCCTGCTTCTCTGCCTGTGTCTCTTTCTCATGAATAAATAAAATCTTAAAGAGAGAGAGAGAGCTTTAATAAACTTCAGTAGAAAACAAGCCTGCTGGCAACACCTGACCAGGATCTTCACAGAGCTAGAAGTGACTGGCAGCTGCAAAGGGAGTTGTAAGGCTGCCACCCCAAAAGCAATCCATCTGGGCTTCTTGGATGGAGAGGTAACGTCTTTATGGGTTCTATTCAAGGCTAACATCCTGGGAGGTTTTTGTTGGATAGGGATTTTATTAATTTTGGCCTTGGGCTAGTCTTTTCCCATTCTCTGATCCTGTTTCATTTGTAAAACAGACAATAAATGGTTCTAATATTATGATTCTAGGAAATGTCAGAATTAAGTGCAGTAATATTAGAGAATGGAAGATGAGAAGTAAAGGAATTACAATGAGCAAGTTTTTTTTTTTTAAGACTTAATTTATTCACGAGAGACACAGAGAGAGAGGCAGACACAGGCAGAGGGAGAAGCAGGCTCCCTGCAGGGAGCCCGATGTAGGACTTGATCCCAGGACCCTGGGATCACGACCTGAGCTGAAGGCAGACGCTCAACCACTGAGCCACCCAGGTGTCCCGTGAGCAAGTATTTTTAACATTAAAATGAAAGGAAATGACTTTTTTTTTTTTTTTTACTTTTTTTAAACTTTAGCGAAAGAAGACAAACCATTGCATGAGTTTGCTGCGGCTGCCAAAACAAAATACCATACAGATTGAGTGGCTAAACCAACAGAAATCTTCCAGTTCTGGAGAAGAGGAGTCTTGGTAGATTTGGTTTCTTCTGAGGCCTCTCTCCTTGCTTTCCAGATGGACTGCCTCCCCACTGGTTCTCACAAGGTCATTCCTTTGTGTGTGCATCCCTTGTGTTTTATCTCCAAATTTCCTCCTTAGAAGGATCCCAGTCAGACTGGATTAGAGCACACCCTAAAAGCCTCATTCTAACTTAACCACTTCTTTCAAGGCCTTATCTCTAAATAAGGAAAGTCTGGGGGGGGCGGGGGTGTTAGGATTTCATCAAATGAGTTTGGGAGGTGTACAATTCAGTGCTTAACAACCATCTATTCTGATGTTCTTTAAAAAAAAAAGATTTTATTTATTTATGAGAGAGAGAGAGAGGCAGAGATATAGGCAGAGGGAGAAGCAGGATCCATTCAGGGAGCCTGACATGGGACTGGATCTCAGGAATCCAGGATCATGCCCTGGGCCTGAGGCCTGAAGCAGGCGCTAAATCGCTGAGCCACCCAGGGATTCCCCTGATGTTCTCTTTTTTTTAAACACTGCGACCAGGCAGCCCGGGTGGCTCAGCGGTTTAGCGCCCCCTTCTGTCCAGGCGGCGATCCTGGAGACCTGGGATGGAGTCCCACTCTCCCTCTCATGAGTAAATAAATAAAATCTTTAAAAATAAAAAATAAATAAACACTGTGACCAAGTGCATACTTCTGGGGAGAAATTATTTTATTTTAGGATATTTTTACACACTTTAACATGACAATACATACTGTAATTAGTTGAATTACATTAAGAACATTTTTACTATAGGTAACATACTTGTAAAGCTCGTTAGAATGAAAAAGTTTTTGTTTCATTAGTCTTCACAAACAGTATTTATTAAGTCGTTTATGTGATTGACAATGCATTGTAGAAGATCTTTTTTTAAAACTATATAAAACTCTAAAGTACCATTTAAGATTTCACTAGCATATAATCCCAAACAGAAAAATTAAAACTGGTTAACCTCCTTTTATATGCGAAGTGTTGAAAAGAGCTAATTTACCTGATAAATTGCTCATCATACCTTTCCCACAATGAATGAAATCTATGCTCAGAGAGCAAAACTCACAAAATACGATAGGCAGACTGTCTTAGAATTCCACTTAATGAAGCTTATGTTTGATTAATTAGCTGTTTTAATTACAATTTCAAGTCTTACAGATACAAAAATTGTATTTTTTCCCAGAACAAACATGCATATCCTTACGAGAGGAAAGAAAACAAACAGATTTTAACTGTTGAGTCCTTTTATTTTTTGAGCTTAGTGATCGACATTTTTTTTTTCTTTTTCCTTCACAGCCTGGCATTCATCTGATTCATTAGCTTCTCCAATTTGATTGCTAGGGCCATGTTTCCTTTAATCTTCAATTTTCCTGACATGAATGCCATTGTTGGTTTTAGTTTTCCTAAAATGAGAAAATGAGGGAAGGAGAAGCATCCCTTAATGTCCTTTCAGAAATACCACTTCAAGAAGATGCATTATAAAAAGAATTTCCTTGAGTTTTATAAACCTCTGAAGCACACAAATTTCTATTCCATTTTTTATCAGTAACTTGGGAATCCCAATTCCTAGACTTAGATGTTAACAATATCTTATAATACTAGATAATGTAAAAACAACAATCAGCAAAAGATTATTACCAGAAAGCTGAAGATGGGACATTCATATACTAGTTATAGCACATTAAAGGATACATGGAAAAAAAAATAAAGGATACGTGGCCCTCGGATGAATTATAGTAAACAAATACTATCTTAGTTAATTTTTTTTTCTTTTATTTTTTTATTTATTTATGATAGTCACACAGAGAGAGAGAGAGAGAGAGAGAGAGAGAGAGAGGCAGAGACACAGGCAGAGGGAGAGGCAGGCTCCATGCACCGGGAGCCCGACGTGGGACTCGATCCCGGGTCTCCAGGATCGCGCCCTGGGCCAAAGGCAGGCGCCAAACCACTGCGCCACCCAGGGATCCCTAATTTTTTCAATGTTATAGTTCATTAAACTTCTAACATTTCAGGTTTAGATTAAAAAAATCAAAAGGTGTAAATGCATATAATATTCTTAAGAAATTATCATTAAAAACATAGTGTGAAATGGTGCAGACACTCTGGAAAACTGTGTGGAGGTTCCTCAAAGAGTTAAAAAACATAGTGTATGGACAAAAGTATGTGTTAGCAGCATTTTAACCACAGAAATGCCAGGATATAAAATATGAGTATTAAAACAGAATTGCAGTTAATAAAACATAAAAGAAGCTCCATGGAAGGAGGAAACTTTATTTGCTACTCCTATTCTAGTGCTAGTACAGGGTCTGGCACATGGTGGAATTGAGGAAACCGAGGCTCAGACAGGATTCTGACTTGCCCAATGTCACACAGCTTGTATATGGCTGTGCTACAATTCAAAGCCAGGTGTGTCTGAATCTTTGTTTTGTTTTGTTTTAAGATTTTATTTATTTATTAGAGACAGAGAGAGAGAGAGAGAGAGAGAGGCAGATACACAAGCAGAGGGAGAAGCAGACTCTGTAGGGGGAGCCCAATGTGGGACTCGATCGCGGGTCTCCAGGATCACGCCCTGGGCTGAAGGCGGTGCTAAACCACTAAGCCACAGGGGCTGCCCTCCCCCTCTTTTTAAAAAGATTTTATTTATTTATTTTAGAGAGAGAGCACACATGTGAGTGGGGGAAGGGACAGAGGGTAAAGGAGAAGGAAAGAGTTTCCAGCAAACTCTGTGCTGGTCATGGAGCTGGAGCCCAATAGAGGGCTTGATCCCATAACCCTGAGATCATGACCTGAGACGAAATCAAGAGTGGGACACTTAACCAGCTGAGCCACTCAGGTGCCCTTAATTCATATTTATAGTTTTCTGAGCTATATGATGCCAATTTATATACAGATCATATCTCCAGCAGGCACAATATTTGTCTGGTATATTAGTAAACTTTTACGCGGCCACACAGGAAAAAAAAAAGTGTGGGTTAACATATTTATATATGTTGAGATATTAAACACCTTTAAATTATTCTATGTAGGAGTTGTAACAAAGCATTATAGATTGCTTAGGGATAGAAAGAATCAAGCCCAATTTTTTAACGCATAAACTGAGCTGCACATTATTTCATGGAAATGTGATATTAATACCCAAGTTTACAAATAATAAATTAAGGGATAATTTTCATTTACATAGAAGATACTGGAAAATCTTTGTTCTTTAAAGGAACAGAATAGCTCCTCCAGAAATGGATAAAACACTGACATCTGGGTGCCCTTTGGCTGGAAAACTGGCGTTCTGTCCTTCACCCTACAGTGAAACCCACCAGTCCACAAGCCCTAAGCCCTACTCACACATACACAGCTTCCACCAGCTTTATGGAGCCTTCCCTAAAAAGACGAATGCACATCAAATGGAGACAAAAAAAAACAAAAACATAAAAGCTATTTGGAGGAAACAAATGCAGGCACTGAAGAACACTAAAACAAAGTGAATGAAAAAAAAAGAATTCCATAGTTCATGTCCTTATCGGTAAGAGAAGATAGAAAAGCAATGTATCAAGAACAGAATGCTAGAGAAAGAAGGAAGAACAGAAGCACAGGGAAGAGGGAGAAACAGAGAAGACTTAAAGGGGCAGGGGCAAGGAAATGACAGGAAGGGAGAAAAGTTGTAGGAGAAGGGGAATGGAATGGGATCCAGTGAGTGGAAAAGGGGCAGGTAAGAGAAGAAACAATGACCACAACAGTGAACTCCTGGAAATTAAAAATTTGAGAGGTAATATTAAAATACAATAGGAAAGAGTCACTTGTAGATCTTCAGGTCACAGAAATCAATCTTCTCTATTGCTACTGCCCCACTCCCACTACTGCAAAAGTCTTTCTCTATACACCACCCTCCAGAAATATCTATCATCTATCTATCTATCTATCTATCTATCTATCTATCTATCTATCATCTGTCTATCTATCTATCTATCTATCTATCTATCTATCATCTTCCAGAAATATCTATCATCTATCTATCTATCATCTATCTGTCTATCATCTTCTATCTATTTTTTTTGGGGGGGGGGCAGAGACACAGGCAGAGGGAGAAGCAGGCTCCATGCAGGGAGCCTGACATGGGACTTGATCCCAGGTCTCCAGGATCACGCCCTGGGCTGAAGGCGGGGCTAAAGCACTGAGCCACGGGGGCTGCCCCATAATACCCTTTTCAAATAAAGTTTCTCCTTACTATAAAAAAAAAAAAAAAGTAGCGGGATCCCTGGGTGGCGCAGAGGTTTGGCGCCTGCCTTTGGCCCAGGGCGCGATCCTGGAGACCCGGAATCGAATCCCACGTCAGGCTCCCGGTGCATGGAGCCTGCTTCTCCCTCTGCCTGTGTCTCTGCCTCTCTCTCTGTATGACTATCGTAAATAAATAAAAAAAAATTAAAAAAAAAAAGTAAAAATAAGGTGAATCAATCTCTCAAAAAGTAAAAAAGTTTAATATAAAGAGATATGCAATAGCAGAAAGAAGTGATCAAAGATTGAATCAAAGGTTGAATGTTTTCTCCAGAAAGTGAGAACTAAGAGAACTTTCAAAGAGATAATATAGGATGTATTCCCAAGGAACCCATCAAGTACCCAGGAAAATGAAAGAAAAAAAAGACCACACTACCTTGCATCATTGTGAAAATTCAAACCACTATACAGAAAGGGAACATTCTGATTCTAAAGCTTTTGGATTAAGAAAAACAATAGTATCAAAATCTCAATAGTAATTTTAGAAGATGGAGCAATGACTTCAAGATTTTTTTTTTAAGATTCTATTTATTTGTTTGAGAGAGAGAGAGCGCACACACGCATGTGAACAGGGAAAGGGGCTTGATCCCACAATTCTGAGATTGTGAACTGAGCCGAAATCAAGAATCGGGACACTTAACCAACAAAGCCACCCAGGCACCCCTTGGCTCCACAATTCTGAAGAACAGTAACTTTCAACCCAGAAATCTCTACCCAGCCAAACAATGTGTTGGTTGAATACAAATAGTTTTATACAACCTTTTATGTATCCGTTCTCATGAAGCTACTAGAGAATGTGAGAGAATGTGTGCCACCAAAAGAGAATAAACCAAGAATGAACATGGGATACAAGAACTAAGAGACTCAGCATAGAGAGAGTTAAAAATTTCTAGGATCACAGCTGCATAGCAAGCTTAATAAGCTTATCTATCTATTATAACAAGACAAAGAGCTCCAGGAAAAAAAGTAGATTGACAAGTAATCTGACACATTTGGCAGAGTGGAAAATTGTATCAAAAAATTGAGGGAAGAGTATGGGAAGATTTTCCTTGGTTTCTTTGTACCTATTTTAGCGGAGGTGGGGCGGGGGGGGGGGGGCATAGGACATTTATTTATATCCAGGAAAAAGAAAAGTTCTCTGAGAGAAAACCTAGTAATAGTCTACTATTTGACTCAGTGGTAAAAGCAGAATCATGATTATTTAAACAAAGAGTATTGATTTAAACAAAATGGTGATGGGTCTGCCTGGGCATGGAGTCTGTGATGGGGCGCCTGGATGGCTCAGTGGTTGAGTGTCTGCCTTTGGCTCAGGTTGCGATCCCAGGGTCCCGGGATCGAGTCCCACGTCAGGTTCCCTGCAGGGAGCCTGCTTCTCCCTCTGCCTGTGTCTCTGCCTCTCTCTTCTGTGTGTCTCTCATGAATAAATAAATAAAATCTTAAAAAAAAAAGGTGATATAATTATATTGGAAGGGTGGGAAAGGGGGAAGTAAAGTAAAATCAATGTGCTATAAGAGAACTTAAATCTTATCTATCAGTCTTTAGTGAATCTAAACAAAACAGTGTAAGTAAACATCTAACTTTGAGAAATGTGATCACATTGGAAAATGTGGAGTTAAATAATGAAAGAAATACCAAAAAGACCTGAAGGACCTGAAGGACTTCACACCTCTGTGAAGTGGAAGTGGGAAAGACCAAAGAACATTTTTAAAAAATATATACGCTGGGCAATTGGCTGGCTCAGTCAGTGGAGTGTGTAACTCTTGATCTTGGTGTCGAGATTTCGAACTCCACGTTGGGTATAGAGATTACTTAAAATTTTTTTCAATAAAATAAAAATATGTACTCTAAAACATGAAGGGAAATTTATGACATAAAATTAACCATTTTAAAGTGAACAATTGGGGACCCCTGGGTGGCTCAGTGGTTTGGTGCCTGCCTTTGGCCCAGGGCACGATCCTGGAGACCCGGGATCGAGTTCCGCGTTGGGTTCCTGGCATGGAGCCTGCTTCTTCCTCTGCCTGTTGTCTCTGCCTCTCTCTCTATGTCTATCATGAATAAATAAATAAATAAATCTTAAAAAAAAAATAAAGTGAACAATTCAGTAGCACTTAAGTGGAGTCACAATGTCATACAACTA